CACAGTATCGCAAGAAACGAGGGAGAAAACACACGCGACCGTAAAAATAAATGGACAGGACGTTTTATTTTAACAGTATATCGAAATCGGCTTGTTTCAAGGAAATTGAAATCGCATTGTTTAGGATTGATCAAGTTAGATCGAAATCTTGCTTCAAGGAAATTGAAATAAATGCATGCGGATATAAAAACAGAAAAAAGCTCCGTTGCTTTTTTTAAGAAAGGTTCCATGGATTATTACAACTAGATTTTTTTGAACGAAGGAAAAAAAGTTTAATTAATGCCATTCGGATAGAAAATGTGGCCTGTGTTACTATATAAGGTGCGAAAAAGTGCTTGTAAGTGTATGTTATGTGAATGTGCACGTTGCGTTCCGACAAAGAACATTTGATATTACTTAGCGATGCTGTGCGAAAAAACTTTCGGCAGTTTAACAGAAAAACGTTCCTCGGCGAGGGTTCTTTTATGGAATGTCATCAATTTCCTTTCAGACGAAATGAAAACAAAGTAAAACTAGTCAGCGTGTTTTCAATTCCGATACGGCTAAAATCTTACTAAGTATATATATTCGAATTGGGTATATACTGATAAATTCGGCAGAAGGAAGAATAATGATGGATTGCGGTAAACATTTTCATTCTTTGTAATATGATCCCATACTTGGAATGCCAAACCCCCTTAGCTCACTTATATTACAAAAGCCAATACTCTAAAGGCATGTAATTGTACTTTGTTTCTGACTAAAAATATAACGATGATACTGTAAAATCACGATCATATAATTATTTCCAACAAGTACTTCTTTACACTAGATCGTTCGATCAGTTCTAATTTGTTCTCTTAAGAGGTCTAATAATTAAAAGCCATATCATCGGGGAGCGCAACAGGTCAAATGTGAAGTCGAAGTGGCGAGCGTGCAAAGATTTTCATTAAAAATATAACGATGATACTGTAAAATCATGACCATTATTTATTTTCAATAACATATTATTAGCACTGATGAAGATCCGGGCTTACGGTCGAAAGCTTTGCAGTAATAAATTTACTTGGTGTTTCCGCAAACAAAAAGTATTATAAATGAAATGAAAGTAATTTTCCAAACTTAGCATCTTAAAACTGGTCTAGATCGCTCTATCAGATCTAATTATTTATTCTCTCAAGAGGTCCAATATATAATTAAAGGCCATCTCCTTAGGGGCTGTTCACACTTAGCACACTTTTAGATCGATCTAAATTAGAGAACGTGACAGTGATTAGAGCGATATCAAACCGACCGAGCCCGATTCCTTGAACATCTTGTGGAGTGCAGGTCCACACTTTCACGATAACCTGAATTAATTAATCGAATAAACCAGCAAGAAATATAGAACGTGGATCGATCCGAAAGCATCACTCGAGGTGGTCGATCTTGAATTGCTCTCAGCAGGTTTTTGGCTGCATGTCCACAGGGGTGTAGGAAGCATCAAAAAGTTGTGGGGGGGGGGGCACCGGTTTCGAGGGGCACTTTTGGAATGAAAAGGGCACCTAAAAACTTTCCGGAAATGTTAGGGGGGGGGGGAAGGAAAAATAAATGCAATCATAAATCAAAGGCCGTTGAGGCCGACTCACGGATGAGATCAAATGAAAGTGACAGAAAGAATTAAAGCAGTTTGCAGTTGTTTTTGCAAACGAGCACGGTGCACATTTTGCCATTTGTCGTGCTCCAGCCCGATTTCTGGTTCTGAAAAGCCCGATTCGCAGCCGAAGAGTGCGCTGGCAGCTGAGACTGGTCATTTCTCATTGTTTAACTGCCCCACACTCAAGTAACCACAAAGACTCACAGATATTGCTTTGCAACATCCGTGAATCAAAAATGCAATCTGAACAACATTTTTCACAAAGGCAAATGGCACTTTGCCACCGGAAAAAGGGTATTTTTTGTGTTTTCCATAAACTTGGGGGGGGGGGGGCAAGGTCCCCCGGTTCCTACGCCCCTGGTTGTCCACACTTAGCCCGATACGGATGTGAATGGATTTCGAATCGAAGAACGGTCCCTTAATGCATGGGCGGATTCACTGGGAGTTAGGGGGGTTAAACTCCCCCTGGAATCTCTTTAACCTCTTGTAGAGTGTTCAACCCCACCAAAATTTCGCTTTACCCCTCCTATTTTGTGTGAAAATCTTTAACCCTAAAGGTCCAGACACACCGGACGCGATTCGATAACGCGACGCGATTTTTTAGTTTTTGAAAGTTTAATAAAACAGCCAATGAGAGCAAATTTTGAAAGATATGTATACCAAATAACTCCAACTAAATGTTATAGCGCTTCTAAATATTTGGAAAATTTAAACTAGGATCAAAGTTATCGGTTAGCGAAAATCGAAAAATCGCCTCGCGTTGTCGAATCGCGTCCAGTGTGCCTGGGCCTTGACGCCCAATCTCTGCCGTAGCTCGCTCAGTGACCGCTTGCACCCCACTAGAAATTTTTTCACCCATCCTTTAAAATTGTAGAAGAATACTGTTTTACAGGCAAACTATTATGAACAGACAATTAAATGTATATTGTTTGGATGCAACCATTAATCTGATACCCGTCGGCGGAAGTGAACTGATAAAGATTATAAATGAATATTACTGGGGAAGGGGAGGTGTGCGGGATAAATTCAATCAACGAAAGAGATGCATTGAAGCTTCCAAATCGGGTACATTTAAGTCTCAATATACATGTGATGCAAAATCGTACGTCTATTGGCTACATTATAATACCCTTAGCAACAACGCCTTAGGAACAGCGACTTATCCGTCAAAGACATGAAACGAACACACAAATTTCAATCATAAAATAAAATGGGTCTCATGTGAAAAGCACAGTATATTGCTGATGTCTGATGAGCGGGATGAAGATATTAAACTGCCTTTAACAGTCACCTTTGATGCCTCACGAATGTGGGACATCAAACCATGCCAGAGCACTCTAGAGCGTGCGCACAATGCGTAGGCGGCAATAGCTCATGCTGTAGAGCTGTATAATTAATTAGAGCTGTATATATTTAATTTGGTGGTTTCAATTGTTGATTTAGGCCTGCTGTAAACTTTCTTCATATATTGATTCTGTTGTTGCTAAGGCAGTGTGGCGAGGAAGATTTCAATTTACATTCAGGACTTGCATCTGCTGGCGCCCATTCGTAAACCATACATATACCCCAGTAAACACGAAGCTCTAGGAAGATGTTCTGTGACTGGTTGATTATGACAATGACAAAAGACGTAATTGGCTTACATAAACAAAAGGAATATTGTTCTTGCTTCGTTCTTTAGAAAATCCATTCTATAGCTTATTCTTTTGTCATTGTCATAATCAACCAATCACAGAACATCTTCCTAGAGCTTCGTGCCGACCCATATATTCCTTTTCAAGCTGTATGTTTATTTCTATTCCTTTTTATATTTACTACAAATTTTTAAATCTTTAAAATATAGTTGATAACTGTTTTCTTGTCAGCCATCTTTATGTTGGTGGAATCTGATTCAGCAATCCTTTGTACACTGTCGGTGGGTGTATATACGAGTAGTATCTGAGCGAGTTGGGGGACTGTTGGGCAGAGTCAATGGTTCCCAGGGGTACCGCTAGACATCTTTGAACGCATCAAGACTGTGGGACATCAAACCAGAGCGCACAAACTGCAAGCAGTGAACGTGCGCACAATGCGTAGGCAGCAATGAAGGTAACTGCTTTTAACAGTCACCTTTGACCTTTGATACCTCACGAATGTGGGACATTACATTAAACCATGCCAGAAGAGTGCTCGAACTGCAAGCAGTGAGCGTGCGCACAATGCGTAGGCGGCAATGGCTCATCCTGTAGAACGCAGTATAGTGCTGATGAGCAGGATGACGATAACTGCTTGAACAGTCACCTTTAATGCCTCACGAATGTGGGACATCAAACCATGCCACAGCTCAAACTGGAAGCAGTGAGTGTGCGCACAATGCGTAGGCAGCAATAGCTCGTCCTGTAGAGCACAGTGTAGTGCTGATGAACAGGATGAAGGTAACTGCTTTTAACAGGTACCTTTGATGCCTCACGAATGTGGGACATCAAAGCATGCGAGCGCCGTAGCTGCAAGCAGTGAGCCTGGCAGTGAGCGTGCGCACAATGCGTAAGCGGCAATGGCAAATCCTGTGGAGCGCTCAATATGGCAGAGCGATAGCTAACTACAGACGGTGCCGTTTCGGCCTTTTGGGCTTCATCAGTGTAGTGCTAATGAGCAGGATGAAGATAACAGCTTTTAACAGTCACCTTTGATGCCTCAGGAATGTGAGACATCAACCATGCCAGAGCACTCTTGTAAAAATTTATATACATTTAGTAGACCTATAACCAGGAACAGTAGCCTGCGAACAGCAGCTGCGAAAACATGGGCGTACGCCGTACGGGAACGTAAAAATTAGGAACAGAACGAAATTTGCCCGACTTTTGCATTTTCTCCTACCAATCAAATTCACTGCTAAATTTTGGACACTTTTGTAAAGCTAAAAATGTTTCAAACCATATTGCCCTATATTTCATTGCATTTTTTACTATTATCTTACATATTTCTTCTTTTTCAGTTTATTTTCCCCACTTTTTCCCAACTAACGTTCAACATTTGCCCGACTTACATTCAAAATTTGCCCAACTTATTGACATTTCAATATTTCTGGGTGTAGCAACTAACCCCCCCCCC